AGGGTGCAGTGTGGCACAGACAGAAGACAGATGTGCAGAGCGATGGGATAGAAGAATGAGTGCAGAAGTTAATCTAGCCATAAATGATTTTTTGCAAAGGTGCCAAGGCAATTAATTGGGGAAAGAAAACCTTTTTCCAACAAACAATGCTGAAATTGAATATTCCTATGGTGCAAACAAACAAACAAAATATCGCACCACAGATAAAAATTCGTTTAAAGTTGACCTTGAAATAGACCTAAGTGGAAATGCTAAAACTATAAAACTTCTAGAAGTAGAGGAAAATGCAAACGTGGCGTAGGGAGAAACTTCTCATACAGGACACAATAAACACAAACCAGAAGAGAAACCAAATTCATAAGCTGCATTTCACCACTAAAACACTTCCTACTCTAAAGGTACCATTAAGAATCAGGTGATGGTTTCTTAGATATGACACCAATAGCATGAGCAACAAAAATAAATAAACTGCACTACACCAACATTAAAGATTTAGGTGATGTAAACAATACAATCAAGAAAGTGATAAATAATAAAATATCCAAGAAAAGTGAAAGGACAACCCATAGAATAGGAAAAAGTATTTGCCAATCATGTCTAATAATAAACTTGAATACAGAATATATAAAGAAGTACAGCATGGAAACAAAAGTCGCATAGCCCAATTTTAAAATAGAAATGGTATTTGGACAGCTATTTCTCCAACAAGCACATGACAAGATGCACAACATCATTAGCCGTGAAGCGAATGCAAATCAAACCACAATGAGATGGCACTTCACGCCCAAGCATGGCCATCACCAAAAAGACAGATAAAACGAGTACTGCAGAAAATATGGAGATGTTGGAATCCACATGCATTGCTCTTGGGATTGCAAAACTGTGCGGTCACTTTGACAAAGGGCTTGGGAGGCCCTGAAAATGTTAAACATGCAGTTGCCATTTGACCCAGAAATTTACTCGCACATATATACCTGAGGGAAATGGACATATATGTCCACACAAAAACTTATACACAAATATACCTAACATCATTATCCATAACAGCCAAAAAGGAGAAACACTTAAAGGCCCATCAACTGATAAATGGATAAGAAAAGGTAATATATCCATATAATGAAATATTACTAGGCAACAAAAAGGAATGAAGTACTGATATATGCTCCAACATGGATAAACCTGGAAAACATTATGCTGAGTAAAAGAAGCCCATCACAAAAAACATACATGTTGTATGATTCCACTTATACGAAATCTCTAGAATAGACAAATGCATGGGGACAGTAAGAATGTGGCTGCCAGGGGCTGGAGGAGGGAAGAGTTCAGAGTGACTGCTAGTGGGCACAAGGTTTCTTTTAGGGGGACAAAAATGTTCTAAAATTAGATTGTGTGATGATTTTACAACGCTGTTACTAATAAAAATCACTGTACACTTTAAATGGACAGATTGTATGGTGTGTGAATTACATCTCACTAAAGCTGTTGTTAAAATGGCACCATTAAGAAAAAAAACAAACTACAGAATAGAAGCAAATATTCATATTATATACATCTGACAAAGAATAGAGTATATAAAGAACACTTCCAACCCATGATAACAATCCAATAATAAATTAAGTAAAAGATGTGATTGGACAGTTTACCAATACACTAATGGCCCATAAGGACATAAAAAGATGACTGACATCATGAACCACCAGGGAAACGCAAATGAAAACCACTATGAAATACCGCTGCATCCCCATCATACTGGCTAAAACTGAAAAAAATGGAAGCATCAAGTGTTGGCAAGAAGTAGAGAACAGGAACTTACATACACTGCAGGCAAAAATGGCAAATGGTAAAACCACTTTGGAAAACTGGCAGTTTCGTAAAAAGTTCAAAATAACACTTCCTATCTGGCCCACTCGTTCTACTTCTGGGTCTTCACCCAAACATACACCCACGCCCAGGTTTGTACATGACTGTTCACAGCAAACTTTATCCATAATGTCCCCCCAACAGGAAATAACCCAACCGTCTATCAGCAGGTAAAACCTAAACTGAGCACTGACCAGAACAAGGGCACACTGCTCAGCAGTAGGAAGGAACCAACTACCGATCTGCACTACCACAGGGACAAATGTCAGGAATTACAAATAGGCCAGACACAAAGGTGTCAGGCTATATCATCCCATTTATATAATAGTTTTTAAAATGCAAAGAAGCCTTGACTAGCGTGTCTCAGTTGGCTAGAGTGTCGCCCTGTGGACCAAAACTTTACAAGTTCAGTTCCCAGTCAGGGCAGGTACCCAGGTTGCAGGTTTGATTCCCAGTTGGGGTGCACACAAGAAGGCAACTAACTGATGTTTCTCTCACAGTGATGTCTGTCTGTCTCTCTTTCTCTCTCTCTAAAAGCAATGAAAAAACAAGTCCTCAGGTGAGAATTAAAAAAAAAATTTTTAAGCGAAAGAATATCTACTGAATGAAAGTGAACCACTGGCTGACTGGGATCGGAGGCAAGGGTAGGGGGAACTTCAAACAGCGACAAGGTATCTTTTAGAGTGATGGAAATTGTCTGTTCTTGATTGTGGGGGCATGATTCTCTCATATTCATTACTAAATTGTTTGATTTAAATGGGTGCAGTTAATTGTATGCAAATAATATCTCAATAAAGATTCTTAAAAAGTAATGAGAACCAATGAAAAAAGAATTCATACAGGTTAACAGTATAATTAGCCTATCCAGTGTTCAGGTAAACAGTGCCTGTAAAATGTTTAACAGTGCACTTAATTTTTTTCTTCTGTACTTCAAACATCACCTCTAGGTCTGGATTTTGTGATCAATTTGCCTGACAAACCTCACCCGGCGCCCCCTAAGAGTTCATTCGGGTCCCACTCCCCTCTGCGTTAACACAGATTCTGAATGAGTGTCGTCTACATCACATTTAATTGCAAAAGAGCGGAAAGCATGACAGAAAGGCTCAGTGCGGGTGGGGAGGGCTGTGCTGATGGTATGACATCCACACTTTGTTCTAAGGTTCTTTCTGTTCCGAACCCTTTTATGCTCTCGTGCCAACTGATCTTTCCATCAGCTCCTGCTGCTAAGCACGCAGATGGTCCCCAATCTACAACAGTTCCACTTACAACTTTATCTGCAGAGATGTCCTGACGAAATGATATGGGTGTCCCTAATGAAGCCAGGCTGCATTGAGGACCTAGTATTTATGGAGACCATTTCCCACGCACTTCTCTCATTCAATACTCATGATAGCCGCTAATGCAGATATTGTGGCGATCCCCTTTTTTTTTCCAGTTAAGGAAACTGATGCTCAGAGAGCTCCATTTATTTGTCCACATTCATGTAGCTAGTAACAGGCAGGGCTGAGATTTCCATATTTGAGGTACTTTTTAACTGATTGACAGTTCCAACACAGAACTAAAGCCAGCGACTACACATAGCTTTAAATTAAAATATTAACCCCTTCTCTTCACCATCAATAAAAGAAGAACACATTTAAATATACCACTGACATTTTGTGGGCTTTTTCTTGTTACCAGAATTCCACATTCTTCCTATTGGGCAGTCAATATTTGGTGGGAAATTTGACTCACCTGCTTCTTTAAGAGCAGACTCTATACAAAACAAAGGCACATGAGCTCCTAGGGAGTGTCCCCAGATTGGGGAGAGCTACCACCTCTAGGAAGAACTAGAATGTGGCAAAGTATACAACCAACAGGGTAGCCAGGAGCCAGGGGAGGCTGACCTCAGGCAGCTGGCAGTTGGAAGGGAGCCTGCAGTTCACGCCTCCACCACACACACCTGCAAGGCCTCGGGGCACCGCCCGGGCTGTCCTGCGCCGTGCACTTCCAGTCTGCACACTTTTAAACGCTTACACAGAAATGTCACCACTTACTAAAAATATTTTAAAGACAATGGAAGGCTGAATAATATGCCTCGATGAGCACTACTTTGCATCCTAATATGATCCCCAGTTAAGGTGTCGTTTAAACATTCATAAGGGAAAAAAAGAGATAGATTAAGTAAATAAATTGTTAGGCTAATCCTCAACCCTTCTGAATAGCTCTGGCAATCCAAAGTCTGACAATCACAAATATAATAATGTAAGTATATATTCTGACCGCCGACAAAATATATACTTCAGTCAGTCAGCTCAATAATAGGGTATTTCAGAATTTATTTTTCCAGGTCATGATTGAAGGCCAACACTCTTATACAGTTTCCATCACTGAATTCTAATAAATCCAGGCCTGGACTCCTCCTAGGAATTGTATCACTCAGAGTGAAGCATTCGTGCGTGTGAGGGGAGAGGTCAACTTCACCTCACATTTAAAAAATACATGTTCAAGTACAGCCACTAATTGAACATTTAGCTCTCTCATTTCCTCCCTCTTCTGGTCATCTCCAGTGTTACTAGAAAGCAGAAACAGCCTACTGGGGCTGAGAGTGTCAAGGTGTAACTCCAGTTACGCTTTCCTTACTCTGGCCTGAACTGCTGTTCAGCCTCTCATGTGTTTATCAGGCAGCAGAAGAATACAGGGCACACAGCTGCCATCTGCTGCAGCCGCCCCCAGCCGCCCCCAGCCACCGCAGAAATGAAGACGAGGGTGGGAACTCCTCCCAGAGACCAGAGCAGAGTGTACTTTACCGTGGGCCCACAGAAGCGTTTTCAGGAAGCAACGCTTCGATCTGACATGTTAAAAAGCAAAACAGTCATCCCGAAGGTAGGTGTACCCTGCAACAGTAGCATCGAATCCCACTGTGGAAACATCAGATTTTCAGCTGCGCCCAGCAGCTACAGGCTAGACCAAGTGAGGCCTGCAGCCTCCTGTGTTCAGCCAACTGTCTTTAGTTGGGAACACACATTTCCAATGTCCCACAGTCCTCACCACTCCCTGTTGTCTTGCCTGGCCCACTACAGTAATGAACTTTACCACCTGGCCCTTTAGGCATTTGAATTTTGCAAGTCCACACCCATCAGTGTAAAAAAGGTACTTACAGCTGCATGACCAAGTATAAGTGGTTTGGGCTTTCATAGATATCTTCCAGGGCGACAATGTTTTCATGCTTAATCCTGAAAGAAAAAAAATGAAACACACAAAGAAGTAAGTATGACATGAAAACTTTTCAAAACAGATGTCACTGTAGCAAAGTGTTTTAGATGTTAAAAAAAGAAACAAGCTCAAAATGGAGTCTCCTGTGCTAAGCTCCGCAGTAGCAAATCAAGACTTAATACCTAATGTAACTGCAATACAAGCCCCCAGACATGCGGTCTTAACTGGTGAGTCTGGAATTTTCTGGTTGACATAAGAGGTAATCTGCTACATTCTATCCTCTATAAATAGATGACCTAACCCAGAAACAATCCATTATTTTCCCCTTTTGCCAATGAAATCCTTCCGTTTTTTGTAGCCCCTCAGAGCTCTTTTCTATTTGCTTGATGAGATGGTGCCTGATTCATGAATTGTTCAATAAAGCCAATTAGACCTCTACATTTTTTCAGCTGAATTTCTGTTACATAACGCAATCCAAACTCCTTACTGTGACATTTAAGTGTCTCCAACCTTGTTTCCAGACCTATTTCCCATTATTCTTCCCCTACTGTCCGTCCCCCTTCATTCTTTCTGGAGGCTGTATACCCTCCGATGCAGCAACGCTGGATTAACTGCTGTTGCTTCATGCATATGCCAGCCTCTTAGCATTTATTCACACGAACCTCAAAAATGGGCCAAGCCTGTCAAAATCCCACGAACTTGCAGGGAGAATTTATTTCTCATTCTTTTGTAGTCTCCCCCTGGCATCACAGGCCTGCCTAAACAGTTCAGTGTCTGCAAATCCTCCCCAGAACAGCCGAGATGTTTCAGGGGACAGTTTCCTTGTCAAGTTCATGACTCCAGTGTAGGCAAAGGCAATGCAGACTGACCTCCCACTGGGACTCTAGTCACCACCACCACCAATACCAATCTGGTTCTCTGAGCAAACTAGACAGATGCTGCTCAAAGTGTGGTTGCCAAAGAGCAGTGCTAGCATCTCCTGGGAACCTGTTAGAGAATGCAAATTCTCGGGCCCTCCCCCTGTCAGAATCAGAATCTGTAGGGGTGGGCCCAGAAATGTTTCAATAAAATCCCCAGATGATCTGTATGCACCACGTTGAGCTGGAGAAATTCTGTACTAGGCCGGTGCTTCTCAAGGGAAGTATGCACGGGAGTCACCTGGGGTTCTGGTTGCACACCCTCACTGAGCAGGGCTGGGATTGCCAGGGGGGTGGGGGAGTGTCCCGTGAGTCTGCACCTCTAACAAGGTCCTGGAGATGCTGATGCTGCTGGTCTACAGACCACACACTCTGACAGCCAAGGCCTAACTACAGAATCAAGAGAGAAGGGAACAGCCTAATGCTAGCCCCTGGAACCTTCCACTAACAGCAGTTCTGCTCAGAGTACAAGGCCTGGTATTTATTTAAAGCATTTGCGAGGAGAATCATTTCATGACTCCATGAGCTAATTAGCTCTTACCACAAGCTGTTCACTGAAATGATTGCTGAACCGCCTAAAAGCCAGCATTTAACAAACAGATGCTTATGAACCCCCATAAGCAGGGACTACATTTTACTCATTTTGTTTTTCTCTTGTACCTGCATTGATCTGTTAAATAAATGTTTCCTGAATGGATGGAATTTAAAGGTTGTTACTATTAAACAGCCAAATGATTATTTAGTTTGGGAAAACAAAGTGTAAGTAATAAATATTCCTAAGTGTAAGATGTCTGCCTCTCAAAAAGAAGTTTACAAGGTGAAACAGACCGGAATATCACCACCTTGCCCTTGAGCAAGTGAAAGAAAGACACAAAACAGTTAACTGAGAGTGGCACTGCTTTGATTCCTCCAGCTTTTATTAGTCAAGGCAGGTGTTTGTAGGAGCCGAGGTGACAGATGATACTCAACTCACTTTTACCTGATTCCAAATTGTCAACCTCATTATCTGTGGCAGCGGTTACTGTGATACCTGAGCAAAATAATAGCAGCAATATGTTACATGAACCGGGTGACCTCTGCCACCAAGAAAACCAAGACAGGTTAATCTGGGACTGCCCAGATCCTCGGTGTCTGTGGATTGTCGTCACTGACTGTAACTGAAGGAACATCACTGCAGAAAGTATAAGCGTATGGATTTTCCCCTTCACTAATGTTTTAACATTTGCCATTGGAATCAGTAACATGGGCATGCATATTTTCTTCCAGTCAGCTGAGTTAATCTGGGGGTTAAGAGCTTAGACTTGTGGGAAAGTAAAAGGAATGTGATTCATATGTAGAGTTGTCAGATTAAAATGCAGGGCACCCAGTTATGTTTAATTCTCAATAAACAATGAATACTTTTTTAGTATAAGTATCCCAAATACTGCATTGTTGTTTAGCCTGAAGTCCAAATATGACTGGGCACCCTACACTTTCATGTGCTGACTCTGGCCATCCCACTTACCGTGAGTCCCAGTCAATGAGACTCTTCAGTGGGCCACAGATTTGTCCCCAGGGTGACAGCTGCCCTTGGAGTTTGGGCCATGAAGGCAGTTTGAGCCTCAGACTACAGCTATTAACACAGATTCAAATACATACAAAGAATCGGCTGTGTACAAAGCCCTTGCCCAGCCAAAGCAGGAGACTCCAGTATATTAAGAATATAATCCCTTCTTTGGATGCAGGGAATGGAGAAATCAGTCTATTTACCCTGCCATGTCTAACAACGGGTTCTCACAATGGCTGGAATGACCATTTGTATGCTACTAACTACCCTAACTATTCCTCTTACTCTACTAACTGTTCTTCTTACCTAATGAATCAAGCAATCAAGCAATTGCCATTTACTGACTTTTTACCATGTGTCTGGGAGAACACAAGAAAAAAATAAGGTTTTGCCCTCAAAAAACCTCTCCATCACCTACATGGAGAGATCCATGAAGCAGTTAGGAAAGAATTAAATGCTAAACTGTAGAACTGGTGCTAAATTCAGAGAAAGCAAGGCCAGCTCTGGATCAGAATTACAGTGGAGGCCTCCAGGAAATAATGGGAGTTGAGCTGGGATAAGTAATGTTTGAATAAGCACACTTCAGAAATTTTAAAGAAATCCTAAAATGGCCTCTTAAATGTCTCTTAAGAAAAGTATTTTAACTAACTTGTTTATACTAGAACACAATAAAAGCAAACATTCAGGCTCCTCACAGCTATTTTCAGATACTTTGGTCCACCCTCAGATTCCCTGAGATATACAGACACTGCACTTCACATTCAATCATTAGTTTAGTACGTAGGTTCTCTTCACAAAAGGCCACGTAAATGCCCATGAACATGACTTTGGGCGCCCACCATGTACCAGGCATGGAAGTAGGCATCACAAGAGAGACATGTCAGCCTTGGGAAGTCACACAGGCAGGCATCAGCTGCACTTAGAACACTTCCCAGGTGGTCTTTGATATGTTTACTGGAAAAGCAGCCTCCTTATAATTTACAGTGACTCCTGGGACCAACACAGAACAAGCTTACACCCTCCTCTCACATATCCTGCAAATGCTTGACAAACACAATAGCTCTGCTTAGTCTTCTCATCAGTGATTGGCCAGTTCTCCCATGTGGTTTATATGCCTCTCATGTTATCGTCACTCTTGTTCGTCTAGACTAGAACATTCAGAACTTATGTAATGATCCCAGTGAAAATACAGCACCAGGAACAGGGTATTAATGAAGTAGAACTATTAACTGTCATACCATGAGGTGGTTATTATATTTTTGCAATAAAGCCTAACATTAGATTCTTTTTTGTTTTTGTTTTTTAAACTGTTGGCACATAAAGAATATAAGCTCCACAGACATGGGAATTTTTTTTTTTTTTACAATTTTATTCACTACTGTCTCCCCAATCCCAGGAAAAGTACATGGTTGGTAGTATTTTCAATATATAGCTGTTGAATGAATAAATGAGTGAATGGAGTTAATAAATGAAAAAATATTCAGCTTAGAGTCAATTAAATGACCAGATCATTTTTACCTGAATTTCTACCAAAGAAGATCTCCTTTCTTACTCAAACTTGACCTCTAAACTTAAAGTCTCCACTTTTAGCATCATTAAATTCGATCTTATAAGTTTCCATGCAATGGGTCACATGATCAGGAATATTCTGAATGTTGATTCTCTCATGTATTATATTATTACCCCTCTCAACTTAGGGCCCTCTGCGTAGTTGGTTGGTACACATCCACCTATATGTCTTTATGCATATTCTTGAAGTCTCGAGTGGGAAGGTTCTACGTCAAAGCTCCATAGTGTTCCACCAGAGGCCCCCATCAACGTAATTGAGACACCGTTCAGCTGTATTCAACTGCTGTCAAGTTGCTAACCCGGCAATACTATCAATTCTAGCCTGTGTTTTATCACCCTATCTATAAGAAGACAATTAGATCCTTTGCTAAAAGGGCATTCTTCAGTTTTATGTAACACATAATACTTCTTAAAGGGAAGATGGGTGGTCAGAAAGATTTGTTCTTAGTAAACCCACGGTGGCCCCTAACAACCACTACAGTCTCTACAGTCTCTACTAAATGATCACAAACCATCTGCTTGATTAACTGTTCCAGCATTTCACTGTGCATTGAAGTCAAACTTCCAGGTCTATACATCTCATACTCTTAACCTTTTTTATATCTGGAAATCTTACCAACATCTCTCATATGGTGGGAGACCCCCAAAAAACTAGAATTTATTTATAAAAAGCTGTGTGTTCATTCTTATATGTTTAAACTTCAGTCACCTTTAAAGTATTCTCCATTTCATTCAACTATTGAGAAGTTTTTCCCCACTACTCAAAACAGTTTCTGGACTCGCCAATTTTGATGCCTTTTAGTGCTTCTGCCATTTCTTGTTTCACCTCTTCCACATCAGCAAAATGTTTCCCTTTGAGGACATTTTAACTCACCCATCATGAAATGTGCAAACGCATTGAAAGAGTCTTCAATAAAAATTCACCAAAGCCAAACACAGCCTCTCACAACAACGCCAGCTAGTGCACGGACGCAGATGGGTTGCTAGG